TTTTCCATCACGAACGAACACTCGACATCCGTTTACTTGAAAAATTTTTCAAGTGCGCTGTTTTCAAATGAACTTTTGAAATGACTAAAATGAAGTGTAAAATTTAGAGTGTAAAAGAACATAGTCAATTTTCATATGCAAATCAATTACGAATGTAATCAAATTTTTACGCTGCTTGATTTTGCAGTTTGATCACTGAAAATTCACGCCGATTTGATCGGCCACTTCTTCGCCGTAGAGATGGGAGAGATGAGTGCTTCACTTCATTCAAAAATGAGGTTGTAGAAGAGGAGAAGCCTGCTACTGATTCTTGGTAAGCGTTTGATGATATTATGATTTGAAGTGCTAAAGTATTCTACCTTTCTAGCGACTTATTGGGATCGATAATACCAGAACAAATGAAAACTCTAGCACCTGGTAGATTATTTGCCATTGGAGGTGGCCGTTTCAATACTACAGATGATTTCGAAAAGTATAAAGAGAGGAAAACGAATCAGTTGTCATCGGAGTTGAAAGAGCGATTAGGGGTGAGATTTACTATCCTGCTAGTTGTCTGCAATAATGCCATTCTTCAGATCTCTGTTGAGAAAGACAGTGTTCCTGATGAGAAAGTTGATATTAGCTCACCGAAGGATAGAGTGAAGGTTTGTCTGAAAGAATATTGAAGTCAATGAAATTATGGAGCAGTGTCTTATGAGATTACGTAGTTAGAAAATAATGAGCTTTTACATATAGAGCGTTCACTTCTTCGAACATTCAGTTTTTCATTGCATCGTTACTAGCATGAGGTCTTAAAATAATTTTCCTTCTCTTCTCCGAAATCTTCCTCTGATTTTCACTTCTCCACACTTTTTCAAAATTGACCAGATGATATCAAAATCTCATCATATCCCCAAGTTCTTGGGAAATGAACTTTATGTCGGCAAAAACAGTCGTCACCTAGGTGTTCTTTTGAGTCATGATAGTACTTTGAAATTTATTTGAAAGCAACTTTACTTGAAGTGTAAAAGTAATCAATCAAAGTACGGTCTTGTCATAGTAGGACCTCCTATCATTTAATCGAAAATTTGTAGATGCTTTCATCAAATAGCTAGCTAAAATGTAAGCCATTCATCAAATCTTGGATACTTACCGAAGTTCACACTCAGTGGTCTCTTTCAAACTCGGCCCATAAGTTACTAATCCAGTGTGTAACAGGACTACAGGACATAGCGTCTTCTTTGCAAATAGAGCGAATAGCAGACCATTCGCTACTTTTATTGCTAAGTAGTGGGTATATGCAAGCAATAACCAGTGTCGACTATGCTCTTTTCTTGGACTTGATTCCATTTCTCTCCCAAAAATCGGTACTTTTAAAAGTCTAGAGGAAGACGAGCGCAGTGTTGTGGGCTCAAAAATCTGCAAAATTTTTCACCAGGAAAAAATACGAGAAATTAGGAAACAGCCCATTGTATTCAAAAGTCCTCTACACTACTTGGGAAGACAATCTCAAACTTGACTTCGCATTTTTTTAGGAACGAAGCGGTCATGTCTCCCCCAAAAAACCAGATGAGCATCGCAACATCTCGTCAACCACTGCTCTATCAAGAGACAGAAGTAGCATACCGCGTCGTGATTTCTCTAACATTCAAGACAGGACATCGAAAGACCCGAGAAGTCAAGATAGCCGACATAGTGGTGAAGTGGAGAAGCACAGCAGAAA